CACAGCTACAGACGAGACCTGAAGATACACGGAGGAAAGCATAGTTATGAAATATGGTGCGTAAATGGACGATAAGGAAGCACTGTACATCTCAGCCGAGCAACTTTTACCGAGACCAGAGATAATACCGACTTCCAACTATCATTTCACCCACTGTCTATGTTATGCATCCACGAGATGACATGCCCAACCCAATTTCTAAGACCGGAGATGCCCTCGATAATTCGAATAGTTTTATTTCTCGTTTTGGAAACAAGTTTGAATCTTATACATGACATTGTCCCAACACAGGCAGAGCTGAACCAGCTTACAGGTGTGTCTTATGTGGTAGAGGCTGTCACTTTCGTGTAGGATTGTTTAGCCATAGCCGATGCTGTAGGTTGATGCGAATTATGATTTTACCACGGTCAATATTGACCGACGGAGGCCGTATGTACTTTAGTCATTATTCTCCCAACTTCAGTGGTTAGTTGATTAGAGGTACACAGCTGTAGTACAGACGTTTTAGAAACTGTAGGACATGGCAATGCAAGCTCGTCTTCGCCCCCCCCCCCCCAAAAAAAACCATCACTCTGCAAAACGTACACGTTGCAATTGCTATGTATTAGACAGAAACTGACAATAGCCTGTATGGTCGCTGGTAAGTGCTTTAACATTTGATCCAGAAGCTTTTAATGTTTTCACGAACCTTCTTCCTGGAAGTTGGGCGTGAGAGTGATGTCGTGGTCCAGGAACTGTCCGAACTGCATGACCATGTGGGTGTTGACCAGGCTGGATTTCCGCAGGTCCTCGTGCATGGTCGTGCTGACCAGCCGCGCGCTGGGGAGGGGGGCGCCGTCATGTCCAGTTCTGCGGGGTGTCATGAGACCTGACAAAACATAGTAAGCAATTCAGGAGTGCAGATGTTGTATCGAGAACTGTGTCTATCTAGTTCTATGCCAGAATGGGTTAGAATCAGGCAGAATCGTGACCGAGCAAGGTAGCACCGACCATTCGGTTCTACTTTTTTTTAAACAAACGCAAAATAAGACAACAAAATGGACTTTCCAAATGGAGAGCCTGCTAAAAGTCTGCTATATGTGTGATGTAGTCAGCCTAGGGCCCCGCCCAATGAAAGAGCTGCTAGAAACGTGATATCGATGTTGTCAGCCTAGGGGCCTATCCAGTGGAAAGGCTGCTAGAAGCGTGATGCTGTCAGGCCAGGGGCCTAAAAACCAGTGGAAGGGCTGCTAGAATCAAGATGTTGTCAGGGTAGGGGCCTGACCAGTGGAAGAGCTACTAGAAGCGTGATGTTGTCAGGCTAAGGGCCTGCCCAATGGAAAGCTGCTAGAAGCGTGATATCGATGTTTGTCAGGCTAGGGGCCCACCCAGTGGAAGGGCTACTAGAAGCGTGATGTTGTCAGGCTAGGGGCCTAACCAATGGAAGAGCTGCTAGAAGCGTGATGTTGTCAGGCTAGGGGCCTGACCAGTGGAAAGTCTGCTAGATGTGTGATGCTGGCAGGCTAGGGGCCTGACCAGTGGAAGAGCTGCTAGAAGCGTGATGTAATTGGGTTAACATCTACATACCGTCGCCGTATTCAGGCTCCAGCAGCCTTATTAAGGGTTCCTCACTACTTCCCCAGAGGGGGTTGTGCCGGTTGTTACAACGGCCGTTTGCCGAACGGAACTCCGGGACGGCTGGTGAAGGGCACGTGATCGGCTTCATGGAGGTGACGTCACAAACACTTGTCACGGTCTGAGAGTCGATGGCGGACAGCATTGCTATAGTGTAGCTTCTACGCCTGGAGCTAAAATAAAGGATTTCTGTCAAAAGACGAATCACCTCAAATGGAAAAAAAACTGGAGCTTACTCCAGGCGTTTCGGTAAACTCCGTGCTTCGTCAATGGCCCTTTTTACGGACACCAATGCATGCTGGGAGATTACGCGGCACTGGGGATGGCTCAGGTGACGAACAATATTGTTGCCATGACAACGAGTATGTGATACATGAGTACACCGTGTCTGATCCACTCTAATAGTGATTATTTTGCCTCTCGAACTACCCAGAACGCCCCGCGTCTACCAGCATGCATTGGTATCTACGAAATAGGTCTATGGCAGGTGATAAAATCAGTTGCATATCAGTGACATCGAAGCAGGTCGGTGGAATATTTCCTGGGACGTCACAAAGCAGATCCCATTAGCCGGCAAGGTGACTGACTTACGATTACCCTGATATTGACTATGTATTTGTGTTGTCTTCTCTTTTATTCATAAACGACGGAAGGTCTCACCTGCTCATGAAGTATTTTGCCACTTTCTCCAAGACGGTGGCACACCTGCTGAGCTCCTTTGCCATCGGGGTGGAGCGATGTTCCCTGGCCAGCGCGTTCAGAGCTCCGGAGAACGGGCTTTCCTCCGGTTCAGCACCTGGAAGGCACACGAGGTTCTGCTGTCACAGATGTAGTCTCTGAGACCACAGTTTCGTCAAATTTGCTCCTAATGTTGTGTTATATTATTGGACCGGTGTCTGAAGAAGTTTGAATGTTGGAGGTCCCAGCCAATAGCCACACTTGTGCGATAGGGACGTTTACGACATCGCCAGTGATTATAGGGTGCTATAGCATCATGTCCATGTCAAAAATACGGAGGCAAAATACTCAGTACTTTCCTTCTCACTTAATGAACGGTCAGGATTTCTGGTGAAAAATAGTTCACTTCTCGAAGGATAAAACACCCAAAGAAGAGAAGTGTGGCGTAGTGTACTGTATTCCATGTCAGGGAACCACGAGGCAGGGGACCTGCGAAGAATCGTACATTGGCGAGACAGAACGCTCACTAAGGACCAGATTTCTTGAACACAAACGCCCCAGCTCACTGTCATCTGAAGTTTCTCAACACATCCACATCGAATCACCGGGCCACACAGTCTCTCTGGACAAAGTTAGAATACTGGACACTGAACAGGACTACTTGCTAAGAGGCATTAAGGAGGCTATATATATCAGAGCACTTCAGCCTTCACTTAATAGAGATGGTGGACGATATAAACTCCCTGGCACTTTTGATCAATTGCTTACGTCACGTATCAGTAAAGTCTCGTGTGAGTGAAGTCACGTGTTTGTAAACCGTAACTCTCGCGAGATCACGTTGTGAAGTGATTGGTCATTAATTATCCTGATGAAGGCGACAGTAGTCGCTGAAAATTTGATCCCTGTAAATAGTGTGTTGGAATAAAGTTTAACGTTTTACTATGATTACTACCAACACAGATGAACTTTCATGATAATAGTTCTCTTTGTTCTGATTTTCCCAGCCCCTCCGTGGTGTAACATTTCCACCTGACATTTCTGCGTAATTATACTCACTTCCGGGCACTACATTGGCTGCCTCTTCAGCCGCCACGTCTGCTTTTGCCTGGGTGACCGCCTGCTGCAGTTCTTGTTCTGTAGGGCTCTGGCCGGTAACCATGACAACCAGCGGTGCCATGGCAACCGCGGCGAAGAACATCGGGATCAACCTGAAAGCAGAACACATCCTCGTCACCGTTATATCAAATCTCCATGAAGATCTGTTGGCTGGCGAACAAAAGGTATCGATTTAAAGAAGAAAGCCCTATAAAAACGCCTAAAATCGTCAAAAGTAAGTAGGAGCATTCTCGGGTAATTACCTTCACCAAGAAGGTTATGTTTTCAGAGGCGTTCGTGTGTGTGTCTGTGTGTGTGTGTGTGTGTGTGTGTTTGTGTGTGTCTATATGTCCGACGGAAACACGATAACTTAAGAAGGCTTTAATGGATTGACTTGATATTTGATAGGTGGGTAGGTCTTGATGAGACCTGAAAATGATTAGATTTTGGGCCCCCTGGCGGCTTGTTATGGTACTGCAGCGGAACTTCCGGTTTTGATATGATCTAGACATGCTAGGGGCACGAAATTTGGATGGTAGGTAGCTCTTGTGCTGGAGAAGAAGTGACGTAGGTGTAGGTTATCAGTATCTATACGTTAACACTATAACGTTACAAACCACATGTTCCAAAAACTTCATTCTCTATTTGTTGTCAGATTCAATAGTAATTTAGTTAACGTTGAGCATAAAATGCCCCAACACCTCGAAACGAACAAGCTGTTTAACGTCAACAGGATCATTCCGATGCCTTCCTGTCCTATGCAAATGAGATTTAGACCCCTCTTCTCGAATTGCATTCTGGGGATGGGAAACTGGTGATTTTTATGGCTTCACCACACCACGAAGTGGTGTGGTGAAACCATATTGCTTTTTCTGATGTTTCTTCTTCTTCTTCTCCTACTTCTTCTTCTCCTCCTTCTTCTTCTCCTGCCATTTTTTAAATGGATTCAGCTTCTTCATTTTGGGGCCTAAGGACCTGAAATTTGGTATGGAGGTACAGTGGGCAAATACCCCCAGGCGTGTTTTAAATTTTGGTGATACAGGCTTTTAGAATGGTTTTATTTGAGCTTTTTGGCTGTGTTATAGCAAATGTATTACTGTGCTGTGTACCACGTTTGGGCATGAGTCATCACAATGGAATGCAGGGCATCAACCAATAGGCATGCAGCTTTCCTCTATTCTTCTTGCTGATTGGCTGTTGGGATTTAACTTGATTAACACTTGCACAGAGCATTTCCACCTGCACAGAGCATTTCTTGCTGATTGGCTGTTGGGATTTAACTTGATTAACACCTGCACAGAGCATTTTCATACTGTACTAGTATGTCTGTATTCAAGTGTTTTGGTAGGTATTTCAAGCTTTCCTGCTCCAGCATTGGAATGCGGGGCATGAACGTTTTTTTTTTATTTTGAAAATCAACAGTTTGCATTTTGCAATTAAAAATCCTAACCAATAAAGTAGGGAATATAGCTATCCAACTGTTGTTTTAGTTGTATGTTACTTCATATTATAGTTATATCAATGTAAATCATTGTTTTCCCTTGTGTTTCTCATTCTTTCCCTACCATGTCGTAAAATGTGGTGAAGCCATCGCTGTATTTGCTCCTAAGCAAATATTGGCCTTTCTAGTTTACTGTTGTTTCTCGACATGATATTCCGACCATCTGTTATTTTAAGAGATATTTGCAGTGTTTACTTGTGTATAGTGCCTGGGTACAGGCGAGCGGGAGGCACCCCGCGGTGAGTGGGAGGCGCACTCAGCCATAGCAACTCGATCTAGAGTTCCTCGATCTCATACCTTTGCCAAATGATGTTAATCTTTATGACTGACAAATTATAGATTATTCCCCCTGATTTAACAAATAGAATTCTCTTAGGATTTCCATTAATTATATCATTTTATCATATTTTCAACCAAACGACAGTCTTATATATTAAAACAAACAGTGCCATTCTAGCATTTCCTCATAAATTATGCAAATGAGGTCCTTATTTGAATACATTATGTTTTAATGATGTTCACCTTCACTGAACTTTCAAATGCCACAAGTATGAAATTACAGGCAGTTATTATTACATAATTATAAACTTTTCTCATCAATTATGCAAAGTAACTCTTCATTTACATAATCAATATCTGCCTGTGTTTCTCTCGTTCATAATTACCAATGTCACAAACTTCAATAGTCCTATCATGGAATGCAGCTGATTTATAGAATTTCTCCATAAATTATGCAAATTACATCCATATTTGCATAACTGTCACATGATTATATCGAGCATCACGTAAGCTACCTACATACCAAAAATCACGACGATCCGTCAACTGGTTCTTGAGTTATCCTCCTTCGAATTTTTTTTAACAAATGCTCCTGCAGTTCCAGAACAAACCGCTAGGAGACCCAAACCCATGTCACTTCTTCCCTATCCCATGAGCTATCTGCCATTCAAAATTCATGACCCTAGCATGTCCAGGTCACAAAGAGATATAAAAACCGGAAGTTCTGCTGCAGTACCTAGGAAGGGGGCAAGGGGGCCCAAAATCTAGGTCTAATCATTTCTAGGTCTCATGAAGACCTGCCCACCTACCAAGTTTCATTCTAATCCATCCACTGCTAAAGCACACACAAACATACACACAAACATACACACAGACAAGCGCTACTGAAAACATAACCTTCTTGGCGAAGGTAACAAAAGGCTAGTAACCGAACCATCGTGGTACGTGACCGGACTAAACCAGCCGCAAACACCCACATCTGCTTGGAGAGCTGCCAAAAATTTACGGGTGAGTAGATGTCACCTGTGACATGACATATGATAGCGTACCCGCACATACCGTGACGTCATGACAACAGAACTGTGTACACAAACTATGTTTGAAAGGACGACGGCCAAGTACAGCAATAATGGTACTCTCCAAGCAGAGGTTGTGGGGGAATGATCGTTACATTTTTATATATGGCCGTTTTTTTTGTCCTGACCCCCTGAGCTTCTCTGGCCAATGGATACTGCCTGGCCAATTTGATACTGTCTTTTTGCCACCGAGAGGGATCTGCTTGGAGATTACAATAATGGGTAAATCTGAAACAGCTAATCTAAGAGTTTTCGACAACCGTTATGGGCTATTTTAATTCACCGTTAATCGTTGCCGACCCGCTATAATTCAACGTTAAGCGTTATCGGTATATTCCTCGTGAAGCGGTTTTGGTCTTTTTAATTCTACGTAGCACGTTATTTGTCATCCCAAATTCAGCGTTAAGCGTTACTGAATAATTCTTTGTTACACATAGACTTGCCAACTAGTAGGCAAACCTCAAGAAGCGGTCGTCACTTTGTTGCCTCTCAAAATGCAGGAAAATGCGTTATTGAAGGTTTAAAAATCCAAAATTTCCCGGGGGAGAATGCCCCGGACCCCCCTACATTGCTCGCGCCTTCTGCGCTCACTCACACTCCTCAAGCATTTCTGGACGCACTCGGGGACCAAGGCAGGCGGGGCACAGGGAACACTTGTGTACACTTCGTTACATATATTTCGTCAACGATCACTCTTTCTCACCAATTCAGAGAACGAATCTAGTGGAGTTCGAAAAAACTCGTATCAATTTTCCGTTAAGCGTTACCAACCGTCCTGAATTTACCGTTGTCGGACCTGCTAAATTTACCGTTAACCGTTGCCAGGACCCCCCATGCAGACCCTCATCTAACAATGTAGCTTTACAACCGTCTTGCAAAATGTACAGAGAACAAGCCGTGGACAAGTTTGTCAACACTCAAAAAACACAAACAATCCTGTTTTACTTCTAACAGCGAATAAAAAAAAATGTTAACACGAAAAGATAGTAGCCTCCACCAGGCCATTCTACGGAAATACGGATCGTAGAATTTGGCAAAAAAGAGAGTAAAATTGGCTAAGAGAGTCCGGCCGCGGGGAGGTACACGTAGTTTCTTTTCCCTCCGAACTGCGCGGCCTGTCAAACCTACAAGGCGGCCAAACTCCCCTTGCAATTTTTCTCCTATATACAGCCAGCGTAGTTAGTCTGGTAGAGACTAAAAAGATACTAGTAGTACTGTCATGGTTGAGTTGTTCTGAAACAAGTGCCTGTGCGTGTTTCGCACCTGTTTTACACCTTTGCTTTTTCTCTGCGCCGCAGAAGAGACAACTTCATGCCAACATCCCCCTAGCTCCAATTCTTATAACAGGAACCTTCAAGTAACCAACTTCAACTCTTTGACGTTGGCGCCTTTCACCTCAACACAGACTTCTTTTGTACCAACGGGCTGGTGTTAGCCGAACAACAGATTCATACCACCAACAAGCGAGTGACAAACGGTTTTGAACGATATCTCTACTTAAAGCCCTGGTCACAACCCGCCTTACGTGCTTTTTGTCCGTATGTTTTTGGGAGGCTACGTCTGCTACGTTTTTTTCTGAAAACGTGGGGAAGGAGTAGCGTCTACGCACGTCACTCGCACGGTTGCGCAAGGTGTAACAGTGTGGTCTGCACGCCACGTCTGGCCGTGAGCGGTTGCGTGTATCGTTCGTTGCGCAAGTGGTAAGTGAGTTGTACGTGCTTACAACGTACGATCTCTTGTGCGATTGCGACTTAACCGTAATGAGGTCGTACTCACACGTGCCTCTTTCGTACGGTACGTACGGGGCACGCGCGTCGCCCGTATTCGCATGCACGGGTGGTGAATCCGCAGACCACACGCAGAAAAAGTTTTACGTGCACTTAAAGTTCTACGGCGTGTCTGCGTGCTCCCAAATCCGTAGGATTCCGTACGGAGGCGGTACTCACCACGCACGGATGCCCTACGTTTGCCCACATTTTTGCACGTAGACAGCACGCAGAAGCACGTACGGCGGGTTGTGACCGAGGCTTAAGGTATGGACTAACCAGTTTGGTCCACTAAAAGGGAAACTCATTCACAAGCAAGCGTCGTTTTCTTGAAGTGGAAGACCACATTGTTATGAAAACAAAATCAAACGAATTGTGTGAAATTTCATTTTAGATAAACAACGAAATGTCCCATACAATCACTTCGTCCTATCTAAATATTGATTCCAATGGGACAGTACACGAAAGACCTCCCCTGGCATCTATCGTCATTGGTATACCTCCCGCCACTCAAGAGTCGCCCCGCGTCAAAGAAACAAACCTTTGAAAAAAATGACTTAAAATCTTAAACGTCTTCACAGCCTGAAAATGGCAATACCACTCGTCCTGTGCCCCAATAGATTGCCTGCACCTTTTCGATCGCATACAAAAGAGAATTTGCGTGGCCATAGGCTATCCTCTGGCCTCCAAGTTAGACCCCCTTTCCCATAGACGAAATGTTGCCTCTCTGTCCCTAATTTACAGATATTTTCATGGTCATTGCTCTGCAGAACTCACCCAACTAGTTCCACCACTCAGAACTTTAAAGCGTTCCACTAGGTTCTCCACTAGCTCACACAACGTCACCGTCCAAAATCCTTGTTCGAAATCTTTTTACAGTGACAGTGTTTCCCCGTACGGCCAAGCTTTGGAATTCCCTCCCTGACAAGTGTTTCCCACCAACCTACAATCTACAGGCTTTCAAATCAAACGTTCACTGCCATCTCTTCACATAGCCATGTTTCTCTCATATTTCTAGTTCAATGCCGAGAAGTGGTCATATAGGCCTTGCATTGAACCACTAACCCCGTTAAAGAAATTACAGATAACGTTAGCTTACCTTGTTAACATGACGTCCGTGAGACACCGGCCGACGATCCGACGGGAGACGGTGACCAGCCGACCGGAAGGCGATGCTAAGCCGACGGGAGGACGAAGCTGAGCCGACGGGGAGACGATGTGGAGACGACGGGAGGATGATGCCGAGCCGACTGGAGACAATACTGAGCCGACTGGAGACGACGCTGAGCCGACTGGAGACGATGCGGAAAGATGACAGAAGTTGCCGAGACGACGGGAGGACGATGCCGGGACGACGGGAGGACGATGCCGAGCCGACTGGAGACGACGCCGAGCCGAATGTAGTAGGATGCGGGAAGACGACAGGAGAAGTTCCCTATCCGACGGGAGCTCTCGTCTACCTGTCTGTTCCCTGCCACGAGGCGGTTTTATAAGCCCTTATTTTTACTTCCTCCTCAGTGAGTCATCAGGTAACGTTTTCGTTTTTGGGAAGTGTTTTGTGAGGATGAACACGACCGAATCGGGAAACAGCAGACAGACAGGTGCGCCGCTACAGGTGACTGGGCCGCTGACGTCGTCTATTGGGTGCTTGCGTGTTTCATCGAGATACATTGTATCTATCAGCGATCAGTGTTAGGTAGACGGGTCATGCGCAACTGGAAGTGCTTGTATTTGTATTTGTATTGACAACATTCCGTGGTTCCCAAAGCCGTGAGAAAGGCGTGGGCCGGGCCACGGCGAATTTCATTTCTTGGATGACATCATAGGGCTCGTTGATTTTGTCATAATGCGATTTTAATTTTTGGTTGTATCTCCTTTGGACATAACACTCCAGTTTTATCTCTTATTAAGCCTGACGTCAAAAATTATCTAAGGGTTGATTCAGATAGGTCGTAGGTAAGAACTGATATCTACTGTAGATACACTAATGTTTCCAACGACATTTTGATGATAAAACGGGACAGGATTTCGAGGTGTAGTGCCACAGTGCTTATACCGTAAACGCCGGAACATTTACTGACAACCGGCCGGAAACCAAGACGGCACGCGGCCTCACGAGGTGGTAGAAGAACAGAAAGTAAAAAAAAACCTAGAAGAAAAAAAAGAGAAAAAGAGAAAATACTAAATACGCCGTTAGTAGTTTAAGGTACTGTCTCTAGTAGTAGTTGCATTGCGCCTATTGTTGTAGACACTGTAAGGTCATGGCCGAAATAGTCCACAACTGCGGTTCCCTTCTGCCTCCATATGCCGCATTGGAGTCTTTCGTAAGGCCACACTGTCTTAATTTTATGGATGACATCCTCTGAAGACCCCCAAACTAGTGCGCGCGGGCGAATAAAAAAAATTCCGGCCAAAAATAAAAATGATACTAAACCACAGGAATACAAAGCTGGTATTGTGGATTTGCGGCAGTACATAGCGACGTATACGACAAGCCGACACATGCTGGCTTTTTGCGGAATTTATGAATCGGTGCTGTATGTATGTACCGATTTCTTGACTCGTGGAGCGTCGGTAGCCTGGGTGCTAGCCGGCATCCTCCAGAGTTACCACCGACTCCGTATAATTTGTCGCTAACTACCATGGACTACCCAGACCAGAGGCACGGAGGACCTGATCTTTTTTTTTTTTTTTTTGAGAACAGGCGAAAATCAATGCGCGCGCGGATGTCATCCATAAAATTAAGTCGGTGTGGCCTAATATGTAATTATGTTTCCAGATGTTTCAAAAAGAGAGAAGAAAGGGCAACTAACAGTAGATGATAGGTAGTATATAGAATTGTTGTAATATATAGTCTCCTAGCACTTAGCATTAGAATATGGGGTTCCAGTATGAAATACTTATGTTTTTTATCCTCTCGACCACGTTTGGTCACATTTGTGCATATAGCCAACCTAGGCAAGAACATGAAATTAAGATTCATATCGTATCAATATTTTCCCGTCAGTCCACAGTAAACTTCCATGTTGCTCTCATAAATATTCAATATTGATAAGATACGTGTTTCTGTAATATTTTTTTATACCTGTACCGCGGGAGAATGTAGATAGATTTCATTCACTACCATTGATTTCGGACATAATTACAGGGCCCGACTTATATTTACTTTTGGTGAACCCAACATTGTGTGCAGTGACGGGCAACTTTAAAAGTGCCACAGATGCTCACAATTACTGCCTTAAGTTTGTGGTGGTGTGTCCCAACACTGCGTCAAAAAAAGAAAAGAAAACGTGGGGTCGTGTGGCGTAGCGGCAGAGTGCTCGACTCGGAACCTAGAGATCCCGGGTTCGAGTCCTGACACGCCACCGATCTTGTGCCCTTGGGAAAGGCACTTAACACGATTTTCCTCACTTCGCTCAGGTGAAAATAAGTATTGTATTGCCCCCTGTGTTGGTGGCGGCATTAATATAAGTTTAAAAAACTTGAGTGTGCCGTCACCACGTCTTGTGATTACATGTTGGAAATTATAATAAAACAAAAAGAAAACAAGACGTTGGAAAATTGCGAAAATACCACAGACTGCCAATGCCAATGCCACTTGACCGTAGCACCTCAGCTGCCAACTTGTAAGCTGTTTACTCACTGATGCATGCGAGATCCTCACGTACTTAAATACCTTCACAGCAAACATCCTGTACGTCTATTAAAACAAGAACCAACAGACTGGCGTGATCCACGATAAAAGGTACCGGTTGAAGAGCTTTCTAATAGCCGACGAAAAACGAACCTGAACTAATTACTACATAGACGTCTGCCTTTTTACTTTCTTTGTGAGGATGAACACGACCGAGTCGGGAAACACAAAACAATATAACAAGGAAAAGAATAACAAAACCTTTAAACACAAAAGGCGTAATCCTTATCCATAGATCGTTACCACGGCAGGTGGTTTACCAAAACAAAAACAATCTTTTTTCTAGGACGCACCTCAAAGTAGATTTTACCCTTTCTACACTCACATCTGCTCTTTTTGTCAGGATAAATAATGTTGAGCATGACCGAATGGGAAAAACGCCTGTGACGTAAACCAACTACCCGAAGGTCGTGTGGGTTGTGTTGGGTCGTGTGGCGTAGTGGCAGAATGCTCGACTCGAAATCAAGAAGTCCCGGGTTCGAGTCCTGACATGCCACCGATGTTGTGCCCTTGGGAAAGGCACTTTACACGACTTTTCTCACTTCGCTCAGGTGAAAATGAGTATTGTATCGTCCCATGTGTTGGTGGCGACAATTATATAAGTTGAAAAACTTGAGTGTGCCGTCACCACGTCTTGTGATTACATGTTCGAATATAGAAAAAACTACCCGAGGAAGATACCCCCATGCACACAGACAAGAAACATACCCGATTACCAGAAAAAAAGCATCCCCACTCATACACAAATACACGCCCGTATACGTGCGCACATATATCACATCACCCATATATACACATGCATACACATAAGCACACAACAACACACAGACAGATACACACACGGGCAAACACACACACACACACACACACACACACACACACACACACACACACACACACACACACACACACACACAAACACACACACACAGCTACAATGTAAAGTATGTTTTACCCCCAAAAAACTAACAAGCTTACAAGTGCCAGCCAGTTTAAGTAAAGAATAGTTTTTAGTACAGACACAGTGCAGATAGGGAAGAGAACTATGTGATAGGAATGCTGTTCATGTGGTCGGTATAAACTAATGGGTCTTGAGTCTGTACTGAATTCAGAGCGCATTTAAAGAGACACAAGGGATTCGATGTATGTCTGAAAAGTGTGAACGCGCGATGGTTGGCCTAGCTCTATAGTTTATTTACTCCAACGTGTAATCCTCAGAAGTGGTGCCGGCACACTCAAGTTTTATCAACTTATATTAATGCCGCCACCAACACAGAGGACAAATACATGACAGGACAATACTCATTTACACCTGAGCGAAGTGAGGAAAGTAGAGTTAAGAGCCTTTCCCAAGGGCACAAGATCGGTGGCATGTCAGGACTCGAACTCGGGACCTCTTAGTTCCGAGTCGCGCACTCTGCCGCTACGCCACACGACCCCACAGAGTAATGGCAAGCCGTTCTTAAGGTAGCAGAACACAGTTTTTCGCCTATGGGGATTTCTATAGTTAAGGACCCGGAAGTGACTGACATCGACGCGGATAAAAATACAGTAGGGTGCCATAGAAAAGCACGAGAAACGAATATGTTCAAATATAGGGTACGATGTACAAAATAACAAAGAAGTACAAAAAGTTATCGTTTTTTTGACATTATGCCGCCCTCTTTTAAATGGCCTCCTGTGGAGCGCACCGGAACTGCAGCCGACTAACCCTGGCAGGCAGCGAAAAGGTCACGCGCATTTATACGCCGATCGAGCAGCCTTCCTAATCTCAATTATGCGATATCAAAGCCGACATATCATGGTACCATACGGTAACTTGTATGTCCCGGTGTCATTCACGTTAGGCTGTGTACAAGCGGTGCAAGCTGTTATTCGCACTCATTTCTTATCCCTACGTCATCATCTCCGGGGTAGCGGATAAATACTGTGTTCTGCTACCTTATGTCCCAAATATATTTCTGGATGTGACGTCATCGCACATGCGCGCCTGGCCCCACCGTGCGTGACTCAAGACTGGAGTTTTCTCTCACCTGAGATCACGTGTACTGAGACATCCTGTTTTACCTGGTAAACGTGCACAGAGCACACCTGTCCGAGGGCAGACAGACAGGTGCGCCGCTACAGGTGACTGGGCCGCTGACGTAGTCTATTTCATGCGTGTTTACGTGTTTCATCTATCAGTGATCAGTGTTAAGTATAAGGTCAGGCACAACTGTTGTGTAAACCTTCACTGTAATATTGTTCGGCATTCCCGATTCGGTCGTGTTCATCCACACAACAAAAGAACAGACGAACATTGTCCGATTTAAAGACATCCAATGCGATTTCCCGGCAGCAAAACTGAAAATATTCTGAACAGGGTAATCTTTGTGATATTGACACATAATATCACACATTAGCACATTTGAGTCTGACTCAGCATTTAATACTTTGGGCATTTAAAACTGCAGAAACAAGCCCAACGATGAGTCCTTTATTTTCTGGGTGGTACCCTAAAA